GGGAGGGAACGCGTCTGGGTTCTATGAGGGAACGTGTCTGGGTTCTGTGGGGGAACGTGTCTGGGTTCTGTGAGGGAGAGTGTCTGGGTTCTGTGAGGGAACGCTCTGGGTTCTGTGGGGGAATGTGTCTGGTTTTGTGTGGGGGAATGTGTTTGGATTCTGGGAGGGAACGTGTCTGGGTTCTGTGGGGGAACGTGTCTGGGTTCTGTGAGGGAACGTGTCTGACCAATCGGCTCGTCTCGGCTGTCAGACAGACAGTACGAGCTGTGAAGTGCCAGAAACACAACATGTATTGCTGCTGCTCCATCTGCTGCTGGTGGGGAGCTGGTGGAGCTTCACGCTCCTTCTTTAACTGGGTCTTTCTGAAACGGGTCTTTGTTTGGAAAATCAGGCTGCATTCGGTTTTCCACTGATTTGGTTTTCTACTGGTCCACTTCAGATCAGGACAAAACGTGTGTGTGTGCAGGAAAGCTTGTCAAGAGTTGTAATGTGCATTAGCCAGGCTGTTGAGAAAGGACTGGTCCACTGGGAGGTAGCGGTCCTGATCTCCTATAGAGGCAGCGTGTAGGGATATACAGAGAGCTGGATGAAACACAGACAGCGTGTTTAAAGGATCACAGCTCACCTGCTGGAGCTTTAACTCACTCTTCATTCACATCATCCAGCTCTGGGGTCTGCAGTCGAACGCTCCTGTGTGTTTAGTCAGACAGCATTTGATTGAGTTGCGGTGTGTGTGTGTGTGTGTGTGTGTGTGTGTGTGTGTGTGCAGAGCGCAGCCACCCCTCCTCCACATCTCCATCTCCTCCCTGATTCTATTCATCACGCTGCGGGGGGTCCCAGCTCCCCGACAGCCTCTGGAGGATAATCAGCCTCAGAATCCCGCCGTGCAAACAGGAGCTGCACACGTCCACCAGCAGCCAGAGGAGGAAATGAGGAATCATTTACATCTCCTTAGTGCCAAACAAAGGAAAACAAGTGCAGCTGAGCACTGTGTTATCAAGTTATATATTCTGGGCGTGCTCTCTGGAGGTGCTGCTGAAATGTTCAGACAGACAGGAAGTCCACATCCTCCACTCCCACTATTCAGAATCACTCAAACCCATTCTAAAGCAAACAGAGCTGTCTTCTGTTCTAGGATGTACAAGACGGGGCCCTGTAGCGTATATTTGAGTATGCAGATATATGTATGAAACAACATGTCAGAACCATGGAGCAGGAAGAGCTCTGGCTAGCAGAACAAAGTGGATCTGAGGGACAGAGTGGACGACGGTCTGGTCCAGAGACGTCCGTTTGTTAAACATGACATTTTTCAGTATTTCAATTCAATTAAATTTATTTAAAAAGCACAAATTCACAACATCCGTGATCTGATGGTAGGGCTGGAGTAGCAGGATAGCAGCTAGAGAGCAAGCTGAGCTAATAACTGATGGTTCAAAAACATGAGGTTTGATGTTTCAGTTCATTAAAAACAACAAGATAATTCCTGTCACTCTCTTGGGCTTGTCAGAAGTATATATTATTTATAAGTACTGGCCCAATACTGCATACATGTTCTGATTGCAGGGATTCTCTCTATAGTGGAAGCTGCTGATGGACTGGGCTCCTTTAAGTTCCCTGATGAACTGGTTCCCTCTGACAACAGCGACCCTTTGATGTTCCTTTCATTACTGGTCAAACATTTCTATTTGAACACTACATGCTTTCTTAATGTACAGGAGACGCAATTAATACATGAACATTTAGCCTGATATTGAAGGGGCCGATTTAAATCTGAAACTCTGAACATCACCTGCTCCTGACCAAGTTACCTCCACAGCATCAGTTACCACGGGGACCTGGCTCCACAGCATCAGGTACCATGGCGATGTAGTTCCACACCATCAGTTACCATGGAGACCTAGCTCCACACCATCAGTTACCATGGAGACCTGCCTCCACAGCATCAGTTACCATGGAGATCTAGCACCACAGCATCAGTTACCATGGAGACCTAGCTCCACAGCATCAGTTACCATGGAAACCTAGCTTCATAGCATCAGTTACCATGGAGACCTAGCTCCAGAGCATCAGTTACCATGGAAACTTAGCTTCACAGCATCAGCTACCATGGAGACCTCGCTCCAGAACATCAGTTACCATGGAGACCTAGCTCTAGAACATCAGTTACCATGGAGACCTAGCTCCACAACATCAGTTACCATGGAGACCTAGCTCCAGAACAACAGTTACCATGGAGACCTAGCTCCACAGCATCCATTACTATGGAACCTGAACAGCTCAGTGCAACAGCTATTTAAGCAAAATATTATTAATTATTGTCCAGTTCTCCCTTAATCCCACTTTAAATCCTCCTCTGCAGCAAAGTCTTAAAACCAAAGGCCTGACATAAAAAGCCAAGGATGACAAAAAGGTTCACTACTGACTATAGCATTGAAATACAGTCGGAGCTCTTAAAAAGCCTCGAGGTCTATCGGCTCCATCTACTTCTGCACTTAGACTGACCTGTAGGCCTCGCCGCCTTCTGGTGTAATTTGAACTTTTCCAGAAGATCCTTTATGGATTTTCACTGCCTCCATGTATTTGCATTGTACAGGTTTCTCTGGTACCACTTGGATGAGGTCTCTACGTGAGATCTTTTAAGAATCACATTATATATATACATACATACATACATACACATATATATATTTTATTGTATTTGCTGATGAGTGTTTCTGAAAAACATGAGCCAGTCTGGGTGTGTGAAGAACAGATAACAGGAGAAGCTTAATCATTCAGTTTACTGTTGTTCCTTTCATATTGTTTTTCTCCTTCTATCTCAGTTCACTCTGTTTCCTTAAACGATGGGCTGCTTTCATCCCAACAGGGAGTCTGGAGCTCCAGCCTTTAGCACACCGTCTCACAGCCATATGAGAGGTCTGCAGGCACAGCTTCTGAGCTCTGAATGGGGGAATAGTAGTCAGCACGATGGAAATAAGACATTGGTGTGTTCTGGAAGTCTCCATGTCCTGTTCACCATAACGGCTGTAGCTACATTTGGTTAGCTGTGGCTGGTAACTAGACGTTAGCGTTAGCTTTGTCTGCATCGCCACCCTGAAGGCTACTCAGCTAGCAACCAGAGCTAACAAAGCTGGAACATCCTGGTTTACAGACCTGGACAATAAACACTTTATGGGGTCTCATTAAGTTAACATTACTGATTTTAATTAGATAACAGGAAAGCTTCAGAGCTTCAGAGACTAAAGGTGTCAAAAGACCATGAAAAACACCACCAGGGCTTCCTAAAGAATGCAGAGAGAAATCGAAATATAAGACTGTCATGAACACTTAAAGATGCCAGTAGACACAACCAAGAACACACAGTGAGATGATAACATAACAATGAGAAACAACAAAAAGGCAAAATGCACCAAACGATAGCACGGGCAGGAGATGAAGACTGATCCAGTGAAAACCTTTGTCCCCTTGTTAACCCGTCCATACAGTAAACGGTCCACAGCGCCTCAGTGATTCAGCCTCAGCTTGGCTCTTCACAGCACTGATCAGTGTGCTTCTAACTCATTCATGCAGACATCCACTCAGACAGCAGCAGCACCAGAGCTGCCATGCACGGTGCTCGCAGCCATCGGACCAGCTCAGGGTCCACTGTCCTGCCCGTGCAGAGGGGCTGAACGGCCAACACTGTCAGCAGTGAACAACAAGTTTTACTGCCGTGGTGCTTTTCTTCTATACGCTAGAAGCAGTGAAGTCAGCAGTCAGTGCCATGGCTGAGCCTTAAGACAGAGCAGAGTACTGATGTCAGTCTCAAACACACCGGTTCAGAACCAAACCCGTCTACCTGTGTGGCTTTCCATCCATCATTCATCCTTAGTCGGCTTGCACTTTGAACATACATGGCTGAGTTACTCTAATATTACTACTTATTAGAGCAGTTTCACAGTGTTTGAGCAGAGTTGTAGGGGAGCTGGTGTGCTCCAGCTGCAGCGAGTGGCTGAGGAGTGGGTGGAGATGCTTTATTATTAATATGCTCCTTCTACAGGACTGAGTGGGAACATCTCAGCCATTTAAGGCATCAAGATATGCTGCTGAAAAATCAAACTTCTACTTGATGTTCCACATAGAGATGAGTTCTGAGGAGTTCAATGATCAGCTGGGTGCTTCAGAAGATAGAGAAGATAAACAGACACCACAAGATGCCACATGATGTCCAAGGACACTAAGATATGACACAAAGTGAAGACACACAGAGCTGCTGAACAGCCAAGAGAGAATGAAAAACACTGGAAGTTGCTGAAACACACCAAGAGGCTATAAGAGATGCCAGAAGACCCTGAGAGACGTGGTGTGGACAGAAGTCACCAGAGGAATAAGGGATATGTGAAGTGATGCTACATGAAGAACACCCTGACAGACTGAAGTGCTGTAACTGTAATTGAGACCAACATTTTGGCAGGAACAGTGAGGTGCAACCTGAGCGGCCTCCACCGGTAGACTGAGCGCTGCTGGATGATACTGCTCAGGAGGTATCATCAGTGTGGACGAGTCACGCTGAGGAAACAGAGCAAAGCCACCAGGAACTTGTTCAAGACATCAGAACCTCAAACAGTGTCCGGTGTCAGGCTGATTGTTCCAGAGGAACGGTATACGTGAATGTACACAAATGCAAAACTTAATATCAGTAGTCCCTAATCTGGTGCTTATAATCCAAATCAATCTGAGGCATAACAAGACATTCAGTACAGAACACCTGCCATCCCACCAGCAGGTGGAACCTGTGACCAGGAATCTCTTAGTTAGATTTGATTTACTGCAAATCCTGGACCAACATCGTAAGTGAGCAATATGCCTCCGTTTCCAGACTCACCTCTGTGCACAGGGACCGAGGCTTGGTGCACGGCGGGTCACAGGACCGGTCCGCCATCGGCTTGGCCGTCGCCAGGCATCCACCTGCAGAGCATAACCACAAGTCAGACTCCGGTGCTAGAGGCTTTATCATTATAAGATGAAACAGAGTTTGCTGGTAGTGGTTCCGTAACATCCCAGTCCAAGATCTGGACTTCTGGCTGTTTCACGGCTTCCAGTGTGTCCAGCAGGAAGCAGTGAGCTACAGCAGCTGCAGGCCTCACTGGTCCTAACTCAGCTCATCACCAGGAGGCCCTGTGGTACTGAAATCATTCCATAACTAGCAGAGTCTGAAAGGCACAAACACATGCTTCTGTCCCCTGACTGACTCTGCCACTTGTTTTAAATGTGTGCTTTGGCAGACACACCAGGTGAAGGATGAGACTGTGTGTTCATGCGGAGGAGGTTTAATACCGGCTGAAGATGGTTTCTGCTCCTCCTGTGTGATGATGTTCTGCTCTAAGAGGAAGACCTCTCAGCTGTACACTAACAGAGGCCTGTTTTAATGGTACCACTGGTCCTGGTGTTGGGCTGCTGGCATCTATGTCAGAACTAAATGGTGTGACTGCAGGATGATACTAACCCTTAGCCAGCAGGCGGTCCAGTCACGGCATCAGCTGCTTTGGTGGACGGCTTCACAGTTAGCACCATGATAGACCCGTCTGTGTGACACTATGATAACATGTAGAACACTCAGAGTCTACCTAAACAAACAGCTAGTTTTACTTTTAAAAACATAAGCTTTATCCTCCTCTGTCAGCGACACTGGACCATGTCAGCACTGAACCACCACTTAGACAGGGAACCGTCAGCAGCATCAGATTTATTAGTCCAGACAGAACTGGACTCAGAGGGACCTGAATCTAGGAGGCATCAGCAGACCTGTGTTCTGATTCATGAAACAAGGGGTTGAGGTCTTACCCTGGACTTGACTGACCGGGACACCCACTGGGACCCACAGGGTTTCATTCTATGCTTCTAATATCTCATGAATTTGTCCTGATGAAGAAATCACTGTTTGTTGTTTCAAGTGTCTATGTTTTATTTATGTTTTAACACCAACGTACTGGAGTCCTGGGGGACTAAACCCATCCAGTTCTGATTCATGTTTACAGCGAGTTCTAATTTAAATCATTCATTCACAGAAAACGACTTGTGTGGCTGGTTGATGATTCTCATGTCCATCATGTGAGTGAAGAAGCACTGAGTGAGGGAACAAATGTCTGTTCCTTCGCTCACATGCCAGCAGTAACCCCACTTGGTTTCACCATATACACCGATACAGCCATCAGAACCAGCTGCCTGATGTCATGCAGTCTCCCCTCCTGCAGCCAGGACCTGGTGTGGATCAGGGTCTGGATCAGGGTTCAGACGTGTCAGTAACCCACCTGGATCCTACCCTGAGGTGATCAGTGCTACTCACCCACCTGGCAGTGACTTTAATGTTCGATGTGAATATAAAATGTCAAATATTGATAATATCAAATGTTTACATTCAGTTACTGAAACTAGATGATGTGAGCATCACAGGACGGCTTTCAGGTCCTAGTGTGGGTCATACTCTGGTACCAGCGCTGTAACAAAACCAGTACTTTAGTCAACAGATAGCATTGAATGTATATTATTGATACAAACCAGAAGACGTGTCTGTATGTTTTACTGTGACAGCTGTTTCTGGTGCTCGTTGACTGTCGGGTTCCCAGGAGGCCCAGTCACAGGTCCATTTATGTTCAACATTATTAGATGAACATTCACGGCACAGATCCCAACATGGGGCAGCCTTCAGTCCACCATCAGCACACGACTGGATTAGACTCATCCTCCGGTCCTGTCAGTGCTGTGAGATACAGAGCCTGGAGGCAAAGTTTATATCCTCACTGAGGATAAGATGAGCTGCATGATGCAGTCCGACAGAACAACTGACACTGATCCAACCAGCAGGCAGTCAGAGAAAACACATGTCTGCAAAAACATGGTAATCTGTCAGAGCTTCTGAATATTTATCAGGGCGGCACTGCGTATGAATATTCATGAGTGGAACGCCGCTGCTCGCAAGAAAAAACTCCACAAAAAGGAAGAAAAGACGCAGCGTGCCAATCAGAGCAGCCACAGAGCGGCTTGCCATCTGGAGCGACACTCAGAACCCAGTATGGCCGTCTGACCCAGAAACATGGTGCCGTGAACAAAGACTAATGTAAACAATAGCTGCTGATTCTACAAACGGTGCAGCAGCTGATGGATGGGCCTGGTGGAAGCAGGGAACGATGCCGAGGTGCCGAGCTCAAACCGGCACGTGGTGACAACAGGATTACTCCGGCTGCAGCGCTGCCTTGGATTAAAGGTCATCCTCCGTAGTTTCCCTCAACTTGCTGTCAGGTGAAGCTATCTGAGGCTCTGACACTGTGGAGGAGACAGTTATAGGTAACCTTATCCACACCGTCACCCTGCCACGCACCAAGCTGGGCAGTGGCAGCTTAGACACTCACTGAGGTCACGTTTACATCTGGACCGTGAGTGGAGGCAGCAGACTGGTCCACACAGAGCATCAGTCCGGTTTAACAGCAGCACACTGGTCCACACAGAGCATCAGTCTTGTTTAAGGGCAGCAGACTGGTCCACACAGAGCATCAGTCTGGTTTAAGGGCAGCAGACTGAGTAGACTAAGAGCAGTGGTGTAAATCTGAATGGGAGAACTCACTCTGGCCCTTGGAAGCTGTATTTTGGTCAACAGAAAGGTAACTCAGGTCCTCTGGCAGCTGTTCTTTGACCTTCTTTAGCTGAACGGTGCCCAGGACATTAAAGCCCATCCCATAAGTCTGAACACGTCCTGATTTTTACAACCCAAAATGATCTGTTTCAGAGTTCGATGAGCATTTGATGTGGTCTGTCATCAGAAAGCCCTTGACTGTGTTCCTACACTCAGCATGGTGTTTTACGGTGTGTGGAGACTTTACAGCGACCCGGTGGGTTGTTCGTTTTGTCCCTACTGATCATCGTTTACACTCATTAACTACCCACAGGCCTTCATCATCATCATGTTGGGGAAACAGAAACCTGAGCAGTGTTCAGTGTTAGACATCTGGGCCTGTGAGATACTGGGTCACAGGTTCTGAGGCAGTAAGTGACCTGTCACAGCTCCATACAGCAGATGTATAGCATATATATGATATAATAACTGTATAATAGTACAGCTCCACAGAGACATCAGTCAGGTGCACGAGTCTTACCTGTAACGTTGAGTCCGTCTGAACGCTGACACCAGACGTGGCGGGACGAGCCTCTCCATGGTCCAGTCCTCCACTTGTATTCAAAACACTGTCCGTCTGCAGACAGGACGGTCAGAGGCGTTGGTTTCCTTTGCTTAATATCTTTTCTACATATCATTGCTTTACATCATTACTTGTGTTCTACTGTTTGCATCTGAACCTACTGATGACCAGCTGCTCAGTCACCTGCAGCTCACTGAACTATACACCAGGTGCTACAAGAGGAGCTCTGATTGGTTGGTTGTAGACGACTGAACACACACTGATCTCAGGTGATCTCTACAGAACCAGATGTAAACAGTAAGGTAACATGCTCTGTCCAACTGACCTGTGCACGGCCGGGCCTCCAGCTCCTGTTCTGGACACTGCAGCAGATTCTCTGGATCTTGGGCCACCACGGCTCTGGACCGGACCTGGACCGAGCCAAAACCCAGGTCATCCCCACTCACACAGCTGAGCTGGCACGGACTCCAAACAGTCCAGTCAGTCAAATAGCACTCTCCTACAGAACACACAGCCAGGTTAGTCACCAGAACCAGCCGGGAAACGGGAAGACTTGGTAGCAGGAGTAATCCACGGGCAGGGGATGACGTGTACAGATAACTCTGACTACAGAAGTGTGTCAGAATCAGCTCAGACCGTGTGAACGGCACCGAAGAACATCAACATCTGTGGACTGCATTCATGAAGACAAACCTGAGTGCTCTTTGGAACCAAGCTGCAGCAGTAAACGCTGCTAAAGAGCAGGCAGGTATTATCGGGAGCTCATTCTCTGGTCAGATCACCGAGACACATGTGTTTGGCTCGTATGGGTCCAGTGTGTTTGATGTAAACGGGCCAGATACAAACACTGCAAATGACGTTTAAGTGACACTGCACCGGTAAACACTCACATGTACTGTGTACTATAAGTGACATGTTTTATGATTTGATTCCCATGTTTTTCAGATGAAGGCTGTTTGCCTGGACTGGTGCTGTTTGCCTGCACTGGTGCTGTTTGCCTGGACTGGTGCTGTTTGCCTGGACTGGTTCAGGGATGAAGAGCAGCACCGACTGGTATCAGCTGAACAGGAATCAAGTACGTGATTAAACAACACTTGGGAACTCAGGCTTTGCACTGAAAAGAGAAACCCAGAGTCAAGGGATTGACGTGTCTCTGCTGAACTCATGGTGTGAGTGATGTGGAGATGCACAGGTGTGTACAGGTGTGTACAGGTGTGTGCAGGTGTGTGCAGGTGTGTGCAGGTGTGTACAGGTGTGTGCAGGTGTGTACAGGTGT